TGGGAAAAAATCATCATCTTTATTCTGCAGAGCTGTGCCTATGTCTTATGCCAGATGTTGGTTTGTCCTTTTGACTCAAAATCCTACAAGTTTTATATTTTTGTCATAGTGAGCAAATACTTCTTGAATCTATGAATATGTTCTAAAGTTAAAATGGGCAGGACCCTGGCTTTTTATCTCTTTTTTTTTAAATTAGGACTTGTATGTCCCAGGACATCTGTTGGTGGACCCCCACCAACTTTGTTGTAACTTTCTGGTAATGTATCTGACCTTTTCATATTAATACTTTAGTATTAATTAATTAGCCTGTCTGACTGATTGAATAGACAGGGAAATAATTTGTCCAGTCTTTACTCTGTGTTAAGTGAACTGTTAGCCAGTTTCACTTCATTTTCCATCTGCTTCTCATATTATCTTGTGGTAAAGTCATAAAACAGAGTTGGGGAAAAAGCAATTAGAAATGTTAAAGAAAAACATTCTTCTTAGATACTGGCTTTTCCAGCAAAGATTAGTGTGGACTGTAAAAATCTTTGTAAACAAAGTGTTCTTTACTGTGCCAACCTAGCTAATTATCAAAGAAACCTTAATAAAAAGAGTTCTCTGTAACTTAAAGAAGTTTTTAATCAACCATCAAATATACTAAGTTGGGGACTCAAAACTAATTCTTCATGCCTCCAACATAATTTGTATGATTCTGTATCTGAAGGGAATTACAGAAAGACTTGGAATGGGATTTTTATTAAAAAAATACGTGTCTGTCCAGCTTTAAAAAGCTACTTTCTTTTTTGCTATTCTGTGACTTTATGTATGTCAGGACCTAATTTCTCCTAGTTCTTTGTGTCGTGCTTTTTCAGGTGGGTAAGTTGGGATAGGAAGACCCAGTGAGATCCAGCTCTTGGATCCAGGGCAGTGCCACAGGCTCTGGAGGTGCCAGGGACTAAACTTAGCAGCTTCTCTGAGCTGCTCAGGGCCGGAGATGCTCCCTGCTGAAGAGTCAGTCCTTGGAAGGACTCACTCATCTCTGGCCTCAGCCAAAAACCCCTCCTGTCTCTCCTGAAAATGTGGTCTTCCCATCATAGGCAGATCCCATGCACATGCCAGCATGCCATAGTGAGCAGGTGAGAACTGGCAAAACTGAATTGCTCTGTATTCAGACGTGGCTGTTCAGCTTTTGTTCAGTTGACAGCAGACCTCTGTCTTGGCAAAGATACATTCTGGCCTTACAGACTTGGTTGATTTAGAAAAGGTACTAAATTGCAGGCTTACTTGAGCAGCTAAAATCTCTCTGTGTGGCTGTAATGGCCAGAATGTAATGAGACTTAAAATTCTCTGAACTGAGACCAAAACTTATTTTGGATTTGCCTTGCAACAAAAATGCAAAGCTTTCTTCATGAGAGAAAAAGAAGAAATCCAGCCTCAAATCAGTGTTGAGCTGTTCAGTGAAGTCTGTCTGAGCTGTACTCTTGAGAAGAGATCTTTGCTCCGTGTGCATCCCCTTAGACAGAGCCTGTGGCACAGAGAGGAGCCTGTAGGGTAACCTATGTCAGATATGATGTCATGAACCATGACTGCTGCAGGTGAAAGGGGGTCTGTAGCCAGTTTCCGTGGTAACTGGTAGGCACCTGCAGCTTGCTGACGCAGTAGTGGATTTGTGCTTGTCTGTGCACAGAGCACTCAGTGATGGACATATGTAGCTGTCCTAGAAAAGCCAAGGCTTTTCTAGGACAGCTACATATGGCAAAGGGTTGATTTGATGCAGGGCAAGCCTTTTCCCCTTTCTTACAAGGCATTTTCTCTTCCGTGGTGTTGAGCTCTGTTCCTCAGTTTATTTGGCTTGTATTTGGAAATACTGGAGATAACTTTTATTGTTGGAAACATGACTTTTCTTTTGTTTGCAATGAATTTGCAGACTGGCCCAAATTTACTTCTTGTTTTGCTCCTGCTTGAGGTTTTGTTTTGGTAGCTTGCTGCTTGTAGGAAGAAAGAAAACGTATCAGCCCATGAACTTCTAAAGTCATGGAAAGATATTTCCTGAAGTCATAAAGATAGTACCATACACAAGATTATGAAAATATCAGTTCTGTTCTTTCTATAATGTGCAGTGTATCAGGAGAAGGTTTGTTTGGATTCTTTAGTATTCTGATTACCTCTCATAGCTGCTAAAGTGTTAAATTACAATAGTTTTGTAATCCGATCCTGTGTATCTGCTCCTTTTGTGGTGTCTTGCTATGCATCCCGAAACTTTGGTCAACAATGCAGATATTGCTTGAATGAGGAATGACTAAGGCTTGTCAGACATGGAGATTAATTCTTGGTTTGAGATATCTGCAACTATTGAGCACTACTTCTGACATTATTCTCCAAATTAGTAGTTTAAACACTTGTTTGTGCTGCTCAACCTTGACACAATTCATTTCATGGAAGAGTCATAGGATCATGGAATAAGCTGAGTTGGAAGAGACCCATCAGGATCATCAAGTCCAACTCCTGGCCCTATGCAGAACACCCCTATCACACTATGTGCCTGAGACCATTGTTGAAATGCTTCCTGAACTCAGGCAAGTTTAGTGCTGTGACCATTTCCCTGGGGGCCTGTTACAGTGCCTAGCAACCCTCTGGGTGGATATCTTTTCCTGGTGGCAAACCTAAACTAGCCCTGACCCAGCTTCATGCCATTTCCTTGAGGAGAGTGAAAAGATTGGTACTTGCCCCTCTGTGAGCAAGACAAAGCAGAATTAAAAATAAAACAAACCATTCTCCAGATCCTGAAAGATTTCTGGTAAGTGTCTATAACTAAGTCTGTCTTGCACTCCTTACATGACTGCCAAACAGAAGAGAGGGATAATCAAGTTTTGTGTGCTCATATAAGGAAGCCTAATATGCTTTAACCTTCTTTCTTCCTCTCTGTTGTTAAGCATCAGTAATGTAAAAGCTAAACAGCTGGAAGCAGTTTTATCACTTTGCAACAGTGCCTGGCCATGTACCACAGGCAGGGCCTTCTGAAGCCAGGGAATGCTGGCAATTGCAGTTCAGGCTTTTTTTCTTCACTGGGACATCACGCCTTTAACCAATCAAGACTGGTGAGTTAACAAGTGAGAGGGACCTCCTGTTGTCTTCAGTGGTTTTTTACTTCACAGCTTCCAGAAGAAATGATTACTACTACAAAAAAAAAACCCAACCCAAAACCTCAGCACAGCACTTAAAGAAGTGCCTTTAGAGAGTATAAATCATGCTGGACAGACCAAAACCTTTCAAAAGCTTTGGATGTTTTTCCCACCAAAAAAAACCAAAAAAAACAAAGGTCATTTTTAGAAATGTACTAATAGGTATGATTTTTCTGAGATGCTGATGTAGGAATAGTCAATACAAATAGTCCAGAAAAGAATGGAAGAAATGTCAGATTCACCCTTGAAAACCAAGAAATATTCTGATAACCTAATAACACATTTGCCTTGTTCTGAGCTTAAACTGCTTAGTAGACTTGAGCTGTCCTGGTGTTTCCTCAAAGCTGTGCTTATGCATTTGGGTGACTTTAAGTCTAAAACACATAGATCTTAGAAACTGGGTGTGGTTGTTAATAGATACCTTTGAGCACAAGTTACAGTGTCTTCCCAGCTGGTAATTAACTGGTTAACTTAAACCCATTTTCTGCACACTTTCATCTGGTTTTCATGTAGGGTGTGGTGGAGTTGCCAGTGTGTAATGCTGGGTGCTGGGCTGGAGAAGGTTTTTGAATGTTCATCAGTAAATAATATGTTTGAAGTAGGTAAGAATTCAGTTCTTTGCTAAGTTTCACAGTATAAGGACACTGAAATCTGTCATCGCCACTTTCAGCAAACACTTCCTTGTCTTGTAAATTATTTTCATGAAAGCCTAATTAATAATAGCTGTGGACAAGCAGATTAATCTCACCTAGGGATTGCCTGCAGCTGTTGGATCACTTTCTCAAAATCTTGCCAGTAGTGTCCAGGATCCTAGGGGGTAGGTAGGTTTTGTTCCACTGAGGTCCACAATTGCTTAACACCCATTTCAGCATCTGCTATGAGCAAAGGACAGGAGTGCTGCCATTATAGGCACAAATCTCTTCTTTCTTGTTTATTTAAGTCTTGATGTACATATACACTGAGCACAGGTAATGTGATTTAGCTGTTGTGTGATGTAGTACCATTAAGTTTTGATGTTACTAGATCAGCTGTACATTTTGCTAAGTATGTGCAAGAAAATAATTTTTGTATTGCTGGATATTAAATCATTACCAGGAAGACATTAGAGGAGGATAAATGGATGGAATTCTGGAAGGGGATGTGGTAGGGGTGAACTTTGTTCTTGATCTGGCTCCTGATTGATCGTGGACACATGGCTTTCTTTTTCTCTCTTTCTCTCTCTTGTCCATCTGCTAAATGTAGCTGATTTCCTCTCAGAACAGTTTGAAATCTCCTGATAGAAACAACAGCCAATTCTTATCTAGGGTTATTATTCAGTGAAACATCTGTACAGGGACTTGGATGTATTTTCTGAAAATGGTATCTTTGCTGGTAACAATGAGGCATAATTTTAGTTACTCCCAGATAAACCCCATGTCCTTAGCCATGACTTTGCTGTTCTGTTTTAGTGTCTCACTGACTTGTTTTTACCTCATAAGATTCTTAAAACAGACCAGGTACTTTCACTTCATTGAGCAACTTCATTGTTCTTGAATGCCAGATATGTAGGTGGTAGCCCTGAGCAGAGCATGTGAAAAGCAGGCACAAGAATCATGGATTTGCTGCAAGAATAACTTCAGAAATGGTATTAGCAACAGCAATGTGTGTGTGAATGTGCTACATGATAAGGGGAGAATCCCAGTTAAAGTGTTGTTGCTAAACAAGTGACAAAGACCTTGCAAACAGTATGAGAATCTGGGCCAACTATGGTTATATTAATAATAAATCGGATCTGGTCTGCTACTTCCTACACAGAGGGTTTTTTCACCTATTGTTATTTTTCTAACTTCAATTTAGTTTGTGGTTTTTTTTTTCCCCCAGCATTTACTAAATGCTGTCAAGAAACTGGTGTTCTGATGGTGGTGAAGTGTCGGCAGGAGAACACAGCACTGAAGGACTGTCTGGTTGGCTAGTAAGTCCCTCGTGAGTTTTTGCTGAGTTTTTGTGCATGGCCTGTACTAATCTAGAGATGTTAACTATTCTGAAAAGGGCTGTGCAGGGTTGAGGACTTGGGTGTATTTCTGAAAATGGTATCTTTGCTTTATTAAAACCGTGCTGGTCAGGGCTCTGACAAGATTTTGTTTACCATATGAATATATGGCTACAGAGACTCTCTTCTTGATTCACCTGGGGACAGATTTCAGCCCAGAGGACCTGCAGCCCATTATTTCCTCTGGTACATCACAGATGTGGGTGCACAGTGAAGCTTCTTCATAATGTTAGTGAGACAGGATAAGTTGGTTTTAATTTTGCTTCTATTTTTTAAGATTTAGTCTGTCTTGAAAGTGTCCTGCTGTTATGAACAGCAGTAGCAGGAGCAATGGGAAATTGTTATATATGAGAGGTCAACTCAATGCCATGGTGGATTGAACCATCTTTTTTGGAAGTCCTAATTTACCCCCACTGCCATTAGGCTGAAGTTGTAGATTCTTGAATTTCCCAGGGTGAAGGCTGCGAAGTTTTTGAGTTTGACTGGGGGGAAAATGAGGTTGATTTTTGGTGTGTCCTGCTTTCTTAAACCAGCAATTTAGATTAAAAATGAATGCCTTTGAACTAGTGACAGTTACTCTCAAGTATTTAGGAACTGATGAAAAAAACATGGGCAACCAGGCAAGAATTTAGGCCTAACTGCAGTCAGAACTTGCTGGAGTTACTCAGTTTTATTTGTCTGTTCCTTCACCTTTTGAAAAAAAAAATTAAACAAAATGCTTCTGACAAAAAAAAAGTTTATAGTGTTGAATAGTTATACTTCAAAAAATTATGAGAGAAAGGAATTTAATGTAATGATCAAGGTCCATTAAATCTACTGTTAAAGACATACACTTGAACCTATTCCCAGTAGTTACTTGGATGCATTGAAAAAATAAGTCATCTCCAGCAGCTTCCCATACTGAGGAGGGTCACTGCAAATGAATTCTTCAGCTTAACTTAAATACAAATGTGTTTCCCTTTTTCTGCCTTTCCTCTTGGTGGCTTCACTACAGAGGCTTGAAAAGGAAAGTTATTTAAGGCAGACAAGTTTTCTTTGGGTCTGGAAGGAAGATCAGTTATGAGTGGTACTTGTGCAATATCTGTTCAATATTCCAAGATGAAAAACAATATGTATTTTTCTGTCTTGTAGCTATTCTGATCCATCATTCTATGAAGAATGCAAAGCAGAATATTTGAAGCAAAGAGAAGAATACAGAGCAACTGGAATTAAGAAAAAAAGACAGAAGTATACTCCGAATGTGTGATTAAAAATGAACTTTTTTTATATGCAATTTGGATTTCACTTGATTTAAACAGACTTAAATTGTCTGTACCACTCTGTGTGGAGTTTAACTGAAATACACAAAATGAGATGAATGGAGAATAAAATAATGTCTGAAATTAAGAGTCAACTTTAAAACTTTTCATAATTAAAGATCTAGAGCATGCCGTCACAGTTTGCAGGAGAGGTTGCAAAGGTGTGTTCCTCTGTCTGGACCTGAGATTTTGTTACCACTGTACAATTTGAGTTTACAATTCCAGCATGTCCATTTGGAATTTAAAGCCTATATCTAGCTACATGAGCCAGGCTACATAAAAACTTAGGGGTGAATAATTTAAGTTGTACTAACTGATCACAGATTGGTGGTCTGTTAGTCGCCACCTGATGCTGACTGTGTATGGAGATGCCCTTTCTAGAAGAGAAGGGTGGCAAATGCAGAATAGCTACTCAGACCAATGTGAATTACCCTTTTCATCAAAATGTTGTCAGATGAGGGCCTGCCAGTACTTGTGTCTGCACTGTAACTCATTTTTAAGTCTACACTGTGACTCACTTTCAAGCCTACACTGTCAGAAGGGACGGATGCCTTGTGCTTTTGCGTGGCCCAGATTGACCATTTCAACTCTAGGGGAGAAAGTACTCTCATCCAGACCTTCCTTGAGAACAGGGAGTAAGCTGCCATGCTTCAGGAGTGAGTGAGTGACCACATTTGCAAAATTGTTCCAGGCAGAGGTGAGTAAACAACTAAACCAAGCACAGAAGATGCAGATCACCTTGCAGGAACTAAGCAGGTCCCTAATTTAAAAAGAGCACACAAACAATCTTTTGTGTACTGATACCTGAAGATGCTTAATTGTGGTTAATTAAATTGTTAAGAAAACAATTGTAATTCCTTAAATGGCTTCACTTAGAGATACTAATATCAAGTTTTAGAAACTATCTTGAAGTATTGCCCAAACATTCTGAAATAAAACTAAATTCTTTAAAAGCACGGAAATGCTGCACTTAAACTTGGTAACTTTAATGCCCTGCTTGAAGAAGAGAAGTGTGAGCAGTAGGATTTGATACTGTTCCATTAGAAGAGGCAACATTTTACTTGTTTATTTTAATACTGTTTCACCATAAACAGTATTCTGCTATATCTCTGACAGGTGTATACATAAAGGACTTAATGCTGCATGTTAGTCATTGCCCTTTATTCTGTGCCTGTTACTGGAATAATCATTAATAATGTTGCTTCAGTAGATTGGGTGGAGGACTGGACTTGCGAGTGGCAAACTGGAAAGATGTGTAGCATTCTGCCTTGTTAGACAAACTTAAGTGGTACTCAGCTTTAAAAGTAGCCACCTTGAAACAGCTTATGTGGAACAGTGTCCTACACATGTTCTTGGCTTCTTATCTCAAGCATTTTGGAAAACAAAATATTCCTAATTAGTTGTTTTGCTGTATGTATTTTTAAAACAGATGGTGACATGTGTTTTTAATGACAATTACTGTTCTTTTGTTCCACTGTGAATATCTGCTATATTTTCAAGCTCTGGAAAGCCAGCTTGGGTGTTTGGAAGTGTTGGCAAAAGCCTTTTCCCCAGAGGATTGGGGTGGGAGTGAGCATTCTCTTAGGGGCAGTGCTGGCTGCTGCCAGTGGTACGTGCCTGCACCGAGGGCTCACCTGGGTCATACTCAGCTATGGCTCAGGTCTGAGTCAGGCAAAAGCACCAGCAACAGAGGTCTCCTTTTCTGGCTCAGCAGAAACTGTGTGCAGCAGGTGAGGGGTCAGTGCAGTGACCAGGATGGCAGAGGAGGAGTGGATGTGTGGAATGGAACCTGAGGTGAACCTGCAGGTATCGTTCCCCACCCTTCAGTACAGCCGTATGTGAACAGCAGCCACAGCTCACACCTGCACTGATGTCACACCTGAAATTCCGTGTACTGAATGGTACTGTCAGCAATTTATTTCTATTTTCCTACATCTGGATTACTGGAGCTCCTCTGTTTACTCTGGTATGCACTCAAAGCAGGGATTGGCCCTTGGATCATGCATCAGCTTCCTCTAATATACCTCTGGCCTTAATGTGATGTTCCCTAGTTTTGAAATCTTGGTTTCACACCTTTCATTTTCTTAGTACCTTGTGCATATTCTGTACTTGAATTGCATTTACATCTTTTATTTAAAGTTTAAATGAAAGAATGAGTACCATGACATGACAAACTCATACCACTGAATTACTTTCGGTTTTGGTTTTGTCTCAGCCCTAAACCCTCTTTCCTACTCTGGTTTACTGGAGGCAGCCCTGGATTCTAATCAGTTAAGAAAACACAGCACAGGGCCTATCTGTCCTCTTCAGAGCACTTGGCAGGCACCCAAGACACCCCTGTTTTTCACTGGAGGCTGCACTCTCTGGCTGTATTCAAGGTCTCTTCGAAATCCTGAGGGGAGCCCCCTAAAAATGGAAGATAGGAGAGGAAATAGGGAGAAGGTGTCATGTATAAATTTAAAAGTTTGCCTTCAGAGAGTAAAACCCAAACTTGGAGGGAAGATGAGGGACAGTTTGTAATGCACAGGGTTTTCAAAGGGCAGTGGAACAGCCACTGCAGTCTGAGACATCACCCAGAAATTAACCTGCAAACCAGAAACCCATTCTGCTTCACATTTAGTACAGCCATACTCCTCCTCAGGTAATTCCTGCAAGTAATTCCTCCATCCTGTTTACTCTGCTGATAAATGGTCAAATACACTTGCAATGTAAGTGTTCCACCTAGTTAAAAATTGGATCAGTAACAGTAAGCACCTGGGTATTTCTTTCATGTTTCTTCCTAGATCAGCCATACTCAAACATGATCATTTTACCACTTTAATTATTGTATCTTAATGTTTGACTTGATCTCTTCCATCTTAAAATACAATTAAATTCATTTTGATGGACAGTTACCACACAGGGTGGTTTTTTTTTTAATGGTCCAACTGCAACTCAGTTAAAATCAGTGTTTTACTGCTGGTCATAAAAAAATAAAATGCTTTCATTGACTGCCTTATGTTCATACAATGGCAAGTAGTAACACCACTCTGCCTAAAGAAAGGGTCAAAAGCCTGAAAAAAACCCTCAAAAAATAATAAAACTGAAAAAAAAAATCAAACCCCCATATGCCCTTTTTTACACTTAAACTACACAGAAAATCAGGGAAATCCCTTACACCTCTGTGACCACTGTCCTTCGCAGGGCCTGTCTGGAGATCAGAAGACAACAGAGGTGTCAGTCAGGCAGCAGAGCTCTTCACTCTTCCTTTACCAGCCCACAGCATCATTAAAGCTGCAGTTGTCTCAGCACAGGAGTGGCAAAGTCTGCTGCAAGTTGGTTTTGGAAGAAAATTCGATCTGCTTTATCCCACAAGTATAGTTCGTGTAATACTTACACAGACCTGTGTTTCCTTACTTGGAATGGGTATTGTTTTACTGTAACTCCACCATATGTCTTGTGCTGCTCTTGTCTTTTTCCAGCTGTAAAAATTGGACAATGCATCACAGCTAATTTGGGGGCTTGCTTTCTTCAATATGGCTTGTTCACAGGTGGGGAAAACTGATCAGTTGGACACCACTAAACTGGCAGGGAAACTTAAAACTACCAGATTTTAAAAATACTTAAAATCGACCAAACAATGCAAGTTTACATAGAAGTTATTAGCATGTTCATCCAACTCACCAAATACCCAAATACATAATCATCAGGTTGCCATTTGATCATTTAAATGTGCAAAGCAACAACCTCCTCCTGCCCCAAAAGCTTTCATTTCTGTTAAATGGAGACAGTGCTTTCTTCAATTAAAAATTGTCAAATTGGTGGAGGTTTTAAAATGTTAAAATTTTGCATTCAAGTTAAAATTTTCTTGGGGTCATTTAACATAATTATTTGAGAACTTTGGTCCTTACTATATGCAGTTTTACAGTTTTATGTAACACATCCACACTAACACCAGAACCCCGTTATTACAACCACTTCTCCATGTAATTTGCTGTCACTGATGAAAAGATTTCACTTCTGAAAATGGAAAAAGCACTGTAAGCCACTAGTGGCATGGATTTAAATGACTTTTCCATCTTCAGTAGAAATCTGATTGTAGGCTTCAGACCCAACAGATGCTTCACAAGCCAGCAACCTCCCAGGTGATTCCAAATCTGGGGACATTCCTTTTCAAATGTTACAGCCTGGACATGGCAGTGAGTGATTGGATTGGAAATGCTGCCTGCAGCAAAGTCTCTGGCATCAGTCCCTTTTCTCCCTAGTTAGCAGCAGCACTCCTGAAGTCCCTCTCATCAAACATTGCTGCTCCCTTCTCCACCCTGGGAAGGAGCACAGAATATAAACCAAGGGTCAAATGCAAAACCTGGAAATTCTCAGGCTCTGCACAGAAAATCTTAATTTTAATTTCATAAAGGACAGGATAGGCTGACTGGGAACCTTTTGACACAAGTAGGCAGAGGTAACAATCCTTCAGATTTCAACATCCAGGAGGATACTTCTCCCAGAAGATGCTGAAACAGGCTACAGCAGATGGCTGATTTTTTTCCTTGAGTCCAAGCAATGAACCTCAAATCTAATTGTATTTGGAATAACATTTATACACAATAAAGGAATTAAAACTTCAGCAAAAAATTTTGTGCCAAATACGGAAAGGAAATTTGTTAGTGAAACCAATTTCAAACAAAAATAAATTTATTTAATATCTTACACAGTAGAATTCCTTCATTGCACAAATCATATTAATGCCTGTTGAATATTACATTCCTTAATAAAAAACCTCTGTAATACTGAGGTGGGGGACCCCAAAAGTAAACTACATTAGAACTAGGTAGCATATAGCTTATGCAGCCACATGAGAAATGCTTTCTTTGTTATTACATAGGTAGTTGGTTCTATCACCTAAAGCCTAGTGACTTGGATTTGTTTTATGCATATTGGATTTTGTTCTATTACTTTCCAAGAGATTGTACTCCCCTGAGTCAGCTGTGTTCATTGGTCAGAATAAATTCCAGCATCTGACACCATTTCCATTAATCACAGACAAGCCAGTATACGTGAGCAAGATAATAGAAAGATAAAAACAATGTCTGGTGAATGGGAAACATT